GGCTTTCTTTGATCTCACAAAAGCTTTCGACTGTCCCCCAAGAAGTGTTGTGGAGGATCCTTCTGAAATATGGACGCCCACTGAAATGTGCCACATTCTCTGCCTGCTCCATGATGGCATAAGAGTGGTGGTTCTCAGTAATGGGTCTATCATAGCTCACGTTGAGGTTAAAACAAGATTTAAGCAAGACTGCATCATCACTCCAACACTTTTCTCAATATTCCTTGCCATGATGTTACATCTGACCACCCACAAACTTCCAGCCAGAGTGGAACTAAACTAACAAATGGATGGTAAACTGTTTAACCTCAGCTGACTTGGAGCCAAGACCAGCATAACCTCAATCGTTGAGCTCCAGTATGCTGATGATGCTGTAGTGTGCGTTCACTTAGAGGCAGACCTTCAGGCCATCGCAGCAACTTTATCAAGGCATACAAGAAAATGGGATTGACACTTAATATTCAGAAGTCTAAGGTCCTCCACCAACAAGCTCCTAATGAACAGTCCCAAGCTTCACTAATCCAGATCCACAGAGACTCTGGAGAATGTTGAGTATTTCCTGTACCTCAGAAGCCATCTCTCACAAAAGGCTGACATCACTGAAGAAATCCAACATCACCTCAAATGTGCAAGCATAGGCAGCAAAAGGCCAGGGCTAATGGGGCTTAGGCCTCCCACAACTTTTCACAGTGGCCAGCAACAGCAACAGCAGCAGCACCATGGCACCACTGCCCTGCAGTGCCCAGCGCCGCTCGGCATGAAGGTGTTCTGCTGCTGCATATGCTGGCCCTGCAACAGCCCTGCAGGAGGGAGGGGTGGGGATCAAGTGGGGCTCAGGCCCCTCAAATAATATTTTCCCCCACCACTTATATATGCAAGTGCAGCCTTTGGATGCCTGAAGAAACAGATGTTCAAAGATCGCAACATCAGATCCAAAGCCAAGCTTGTGGTTTATCAAGCAATTGTAATCCCCACCTTGCTATACAAAGCTGGGACATAGACAACATACAGGAAACATCTAAAGTTGTTGGAGAAGTACCATCAATTCTGCCTGTGGAAGATCTTCCAAATCCAGTGGGAAGACAAATGAACCAATGTTAGCGTCCTCCTGCAAGCAAACAGTATGAGTATTGAGGCAATAATCATCCAACATCAATTTCATTGGGCCACCATGTCATGCAGATGTCCAACTCCAGACTCCTGAAGCAAGTTTTATTCTCACAGCTCAGGCAAGGTGTATGTTCAAGAGGAGGGCAGGGAAAGCACTTCAGGGATGTTCTCAAGGCCAACTTAAAAAAATGCAGCATAAATGTCAACTTGTGGCAAACTATCGCCCAGGACTATCCCAAATGGAGGAAGAGTCTGCTGAAGCGATTTCAGTACTTCGAAACCTCACTACAACAGGTGATGGAAAAGCAGGAGTGGCAGAAATAACGTGTCACGGACCAAATCAAGAATCCAGCACCACCCACCTCACATGGAAAACACACATCCGAGGTGCAGTAGAATTTATTTATCCCAGTTAGGTCTCATCAACCATCTTTGGACACAGAGATAAGACAGTCGTGGAAGGCAATCATCCTCGACTGTGAGGGATTGCCAAAGGAGCAGCTTTACCTCTGAGGGACTATCCCTAGGAAGGAAGAAAATAGTTGTTTACACAGCCAGTTATGATATAACCAACCAACCCAGAAGTCCCCAGCACCCTATCCCTGCTATCCAGACCCTCCCCAATTTCTATTTACTGACACATACTGTGCTTCCCCAAACTGCCCTGGTTTCAAAGGTTCTCTCCAATCCCCACCAACAAGCAAATGACTCTCACTGGTATAGTTCCTTGTAGCCGCCAAATTCTCTGTGGTACATCCTACCAACAAGCACCTAGCTCCTTTCTCAAGACTACATAAATCCTGACTCTGTACCGCTGGCCACCAGTCCAACTACCTTCCCTTTCCACCTATCCTAGGGCCTGCCTACAAATGAGATGCCTCTTATTATTTGCTTCCAATCCTCCCTGCTCCTACAAACAGGGGCAATGCATAGGGGGTGCACACAGGTGCACGTGCACACCCTGAGCGTGGTGGTGCACCCCCTACAAAAAGGCACCTCCAATAATGCCGGTGGGTCCTGTGGGCAGTTGCCGCTCACCACCCTGCTGAGTCTGTTGGCGGTCTGCAATCCCCACTGGCTGCTGCCGAGACTGCTGACAGAGCTGGCGGCGTCTGCGAGAGCTCCCCCGCTTACTGTCGCCACGCTCCCACCACTGCCAACGCTCCCCCAGCCTCCGGGGGCACACGTCGTTCATGCCTACAAACCAACTCTGACCCATATGCAAGGATTCTGTCCCCCAGGAAATGCCCTCTCAAGCAGCAGCTCAATCATCCTCAGGACTCCTAGACCAGGTACAGACATGACATTTTTATCAGTATAAGTGATCAGAAACCAGTCTATACCTGTAATGGAACAGAAGTTTGATACACAGACTGGTTTAAAAATGGTGAAACCTGGCCTAAGCGCGCGCGCGCGCACACACACACACACACACACACACACACACACACCCCCCCCCCAAAGGGCAAATGTGTGTTCTGTTTGCTACTGATCTAAACTATGCCTCTTAAAGAAAAGCACATAACTTGGACTGATCCCACCTCAGGCTTTTTGAATGTCTGTACCTAGCCCTGTTCCCACCAACAAGAACTCAGTGGACTCCACTCCTCTTTTACTCCACTTCCATCTAGATAACCCCTCCCTCATTGCTATCAACTGGCTCTTCCATCCACACTTCCAGATGCTCAGCACTGCTGTACAACCTTCTATATACCCCCGTCACCTTTCTTTCTTTTCTTATACACCTACAATTTGATCCAGCTGTCTGAAACATCCCTTCTTCCATTATGTGCGAGTATGGGAATACAAATAATAATTATAAAAGGTATACACGTATGTATGTATACACATGCACACATACAAATGTTCCTTCTTCCTACTTACCTCCTTGATGAATAAAACCGGAAATTAGCATTTTGTTTCTGTATCATATCCATTCACTTTGTTCAGCGTGTATAAATGCATTACTGTAATTTAGTTGTAATTGTTATCTACATTCTATTCAGTGTGTTGACTGATATAGAAACATTCCTTGCAAATAAGGCACAGTGCAGTATCGTGTGTCTGCCAATTAAGTACATGAACTTCTAAGAATGAGGTGCAGCAATTATATTGTAAAGTGTCCCTGGAATAGAATAATTGAAGAAAGGGGAAGGACAACAAATTGATTCCATTGAACACCAGGGAGAATTTAAGAAAGTGTAACCACTATAATTAGAATGTGTAGGATTTGTATCTCTGATCATCTAAGAGCTGTTGAATAAAAGCACTTGAAGTTAGTATATTTATGCATCTCTAAAACTATGGACACATGTTCACTTGTAGTATTACAAAGATGCTGCAAAGCCTTCCTGCTACTACTGCCTTCAGTGGATGCAGCACTCTGCCGTCACCACCACCAGAGCACTAGCTGTTGCCAGTAATTTCTGGTGGCAGTGGCAGAGTTCCAGCAGGGCTCCAGGACAGCTTCCCACAGCTGGGTGGGCTGTTAGGGAGTCAGCTGCTCTCCTTCTTCCCCTCTTCATAAAGGAGAGAGAGAGTGAAGGACTGCTGGATGATGGGAGGAGCCAACAGACTGCCTATAGTGCTATATATAAAGCTATCCACACATTACATGTGGCTCTACAAATCATAGCACTACAGAGAAGATCCTTTTTGAAAGAGGAGCATTTTTGTGGTACATTTGTCATTTGTGGCAGTAGGTGTGACATGAATGTTGGACACTCACTTTGCATAGTATCACACGGACATTTGTAGCTCTACAATTATAATGCATCTATGGCCTAAGAATGCAATCTGTGTTCAGCATTCCACTGTAGTACTGTTGTTGCCATGGTAGTTAGCAGTGTTTTGTGAAAACTCAATATAAAGTAGTATAAAGCATAACTCAGCTCTCTTCTTGAGCTGGGCTTAAATTACATTTGGAGTTACAGACTTAAAAAGCAACCCACTCTCCCAAATTTTGGGGTTCAGTCCCAGATATCAAGGCTCTATCCCACTGTGCTCAAGATCTCTGTCATATGGGACTTGTGAAAAACTGATCTGGGATCAAAGTCCTGTTGCATCATGCTGAATGGACACAGCACTGTTGTCTGGCACTGTGGGAACACAGCTATCCTGCTTCTATGTTGCAAGGCGCACACAGGCATGAATTGGAAGCAGGATAGCTGTATTAGTACTTCAATGCACCCAGGCTAATTAGCTCTGCCTCTAGCTATCATTTGAATGCATGTGTGATGTGCTATGTGAACATGGTTGTTCTGCTTCCCACTCACGAGGTAACTGCTGGCCCACAGTGTTGCATTAAGGCACCTCCACTGTCCAGAACCAAGTGGTATGAACTATTTCCTATTCTGGAAGTCTGTGGAACACTCAAGACTATGATCCAAGTCTTGCTCCCCAAAAGTTGGCTGCTTTAGTGTATTAAAATTATAGTAGATTGTTTTTGAGATTCTTTTAATACATTTATTTGGTGTGGAGGAGAAAGTAGGCAGATGTGAGAGGGGAAAGAAAGAGACTGAAAAATAATTCAGGCTTAAACTGTGAAAAAGAAATAATAGGCATTGGTTACAAACTCATAGAGAAAGACTATGGACTTCATTCTTTTCCCAAAGTCAATGATGATACTTCATTTGGTCCAGTGAATTAAGGTGGAGTCTGCAATTCCAAATTCAGTGCTTAGATTCTATTACAGCCAATGTTAAGATTGTAAAGAGGTCTTATATCAGCATTAATTCAATTAATCAGTGACTAGATTGTAACTTGGGCTACATACTCACACAAGTGCACATAGCTTGTGACAACCTACCAGGACTTGGAGCTGGGTGCCTAGAGGTAATAACATGGTGTATCCAGGCTTTTTTGTTTCCTTGTTCTCTGCTTCACCTCAGTTTCTAGACCCATTGGCAATTCATCTGAATGACAGCAATGCAAAGTGGGTTCCTTCTTTGCTCACCAGCTGAGAAATATGGAGAAGAGGAGGAGTCAAAGGGAAGCAAAACCCTAACCAGGTAATGTTGAATTTAAGCACTGATTTGCCTTGCAAATGTGACAGTAATCAATTATGGCAGGTACATTTTTCTTATCATTGATAGCAATTATCATGAAAGATAAAAATTAGAGGCTTCTACAGCAGAACAATGCAACAAAGATCAGAATCCAAAAGAAGCAAATAAACTGTTCAAGAACAAAAATTGTTAAACACAAAGCATCATGAATCAAGAATACAAAGCTGGATTGATCTCTATAGCGTTATATACTGTCTGTGCAATATAGGCAGGCATGCAGATATATCACACACACAATATGTAAAGCAGCATAGGTCAATCCAGTTCTTCCCCCACCCCACAATTGCCAATGGGGGGATGGATGTGTATGTGTGTAAAAAGATTATTATGCATAATATAACAAAGCAAAGACAAACCATTGGCAATCAGGGGGAAAAAAGCTGGATCTCTTCCTCTCTATATAGATTAACTACCCCAGAAGATATTCCCCTGACTGGTAACAGAGTAAGACAGATTATGTAATTACTTATTGATTACTTCTGGAATTCCTGTTGAGAATGCTGTCCCTGGCACGATTTACTAGGACTCTGAAATAAACTGTACACCCTTTCTGGAGGTCTGGTTTAATTAATGCATTTATTTTACCAAGCTAAATTCTGGAAGAACAACATACAAATATATAAAATGTAATAAAATGAATGGGTTTTTTTGTTTATATCTTATTTCAGACAGCCAGGCATATCACCAATGTCTAACAGACCCACTTCCGGTTGCTTTAATTTTGTTTCAGTTCATCCACCAGTTCAGGAAAGCAACCCCGTGCAGGGCAGAAAGCTAAGCACATCCTTTGCTTCAAGCACATACTCAAGAAGAATTATGTGCTTAAGTGCTATCCTGAAGTTGAATGGAGCCGAGCAGCCTCTGAGATGTAGGGGACCCCAGTCCTTCCCTCTGTAGTGGCAGAACTCCCTGGGGCCACCCAGGCAGGATGCTGTGGGCCAGGTGCTGCCCCAGCTTGGAGGCAGCACCTGGTCCGATCCAACTCTTCCCCAGCCCTGAGTTGAGGCAGCATCTGGCCCAGTAGCAGTCCACTTGGGTGGCCCCAGGGGGTGCCACCATCCTGGAGGGAAGAACCAGGGTTCCCCCCAGCTCAGTGGCCACTTGGCCCGCAAGCAACTCACCCCCCAGCCATGGAATAGGTGGTCAGGTTCTGTTGGGGGGGAGATGGAGGAAAGAAAGAAGGATCACGTCCCTCTTTGCTTCTGTCTTCAACAGGCGCCTGCTGAAGGCAGAAATGGTGAGGGGCCCAATCCTTTTTATCTACAAAGCCTATTGGCCTCTCCCGTGGCTGGGGGTGTGCTGAGAGCTGCATCATTGTAATTTGCAACATTGCAAACTAAACAACATCCAGATGTAGTTAGTTTGCAATGATGAAAAGTCATTTAAAACCCCCAGAAGTCTTGCATGTGTACACTGTGATGCCATTAAGCCACACAAAGTGACATTTTTGTCATGGGTACATGTTAGAGGCATCACATGTACAAGCACCCTACCACCCTAATCCTGCTGAGTACTGTCAAGTTGCATTGGCTCAGTACTTTGTGGGACTGAATTCTAAATAAATACTTGACTATGCTACATTTTAGTGGTTGTATACAAGTCCCACATCTGATGCCAAGTGCCAATCTTAAGAATGAAATGCAATAATTATCACCAAACAGTGTCATGAATGAGAGTCACAAGACTGTATCAAGTTGACGACCAATCTGATATACAGTTTAAGAGATGGAGAAATGCAAAGGTTATCATCTTCTGGTCCTTTTACAGGGTGTTTTGTCTATCATTGTTTCAAATACTGTGAAACAGTTTTGTAACAGGATCTCTGTTTTTCCCTGGCTTCAAAAATAGAGATCATGTGGTACAGGCCAGAAATCTAGTGCTAAGCCGTGGCAAGATGCTAAATGGCCAAGTCTCAGGAGCCCACTACAGTTGAACCAGCAGATACTGACTCACTTTAATTCTCACTGCATGGACATTAATGATGTTTTGCTGCTTAGCTTTACAACACCACAGGCCTACCGTTGGCATCCTTGGTGATCAGTTTTTCAAACACAGACTGAGACAGCAAGTTAAATTTACTGAGGGTTTTAAATGCCCCAATCCAGGAAGGTTTGGGGTAACTTTCTAGTGCTGTGTAGGGGCAGCTGCTGTGTCACTTTGCTAGAAAATTTCATTGTCATTGTATAGTCTTCTAGACACATTCAAGTAAGTTTCAGAAAAAAACTGCATTTTCCAAAACCTTTTGCTAGGGTCAGGCAATAGATGTATTTGTATTGTCTCATCATGGAGACCTGGGACCAACATGCCCCAAAGGGTATCATTTAAAGCACAATCTAGTTTACAGTGTTCAGCCAGCACTTACTATTATCACAAAGTGTGAAATTTTTCCCTCCTGGGTCTTCTTGGCTTCTTTTATGAACTGAAAAGATCTCCGCAGTTATGGAATAAAGTGTGCTGGAAATACTTGCAAGAGCTCTCTAGAAGTTCTGGTTTGTCTGAAACCATTAGAATACATAACTTCCAGTTCTCTGGATTTTGCCTTAGATTCAAGTGAGCGACTGCTTGCCAGTCCTGGACATCACATGAAGAACATCCCTGGGGATTTTGATTATTTCAGTGGAACCTAAATACGACACACCTAGACTCTGGCCTACCTTCCCCATCCATCAGTGCTGCGGGCACCAGTGACACAGGACATCTGTCTGAGTGGGGACCAGCACATTTTCTGAGAGATGCAACAGCTTGTACTGAGTGACTTCAAACAGATTCCCCCAACACTATGTCTAAGGACTATGTGTATACAGGTGTCTGGAAAGATGACTTGTAGGGCTGCAGGGGGTAGAGGGCTTCACTGAGCCCAAATAAAGTTTTAAAAAAAAATCAACTGCCTCATCTTTTTCCTGCCCCCCTTCCCTCCCTCACACTTGCAAATCTGTAAATAAATAAAAGCCTTTAATCTTTGCTAATGGGTCATTTACATTCCAGTCAAGGTCACCATTGCAGCTGCTGGGAAAAGCCAGGAGGAAGGGGTGAGGGAAGCTGAGGAGACAGGAAGCGATTGAGAGGGGAGTGGGCATTGGGAAGGTCAGTCCCACTCCCTGGCCCACAACTGAAGGGCATTGTGCCAGAAGAGAGTGGCTGCACATGTGTACCCGCCGCCGCTCGACCAGGAGATCACGTGCCGCTTTCGCCTGGGCCCCAGATCTCGCCCACCCGGGCTTTGCTGATGCGCCCCGAAGTTTACCCCGATTGGTATCAAGGGGGACCCCAAAACTCGCCTGCCATAACTTTGATGATGTCTTCAGAGGGGGGTCTTCCCTTGGGGTATCCCTCGGTGCTGACGCGTTCCTCCGCGGGCAATCTCGGGGCTCCGTCCTTC